TTTACAATGGGGTTGATAGAAGGCACTGCAATAAAATATCATAATAGGTTCAATTTTCTGTACTGCAGCTGCATTCTTTGTGTTGCATACAAACACAGTATGTTCCTCTAGAACCACATATATGTTCCTGTTACCTTGGATACCATTCCAGAGACCTGCGTTTCACTGATTTATATATGTACTTAACCAACATGTTTTTCTGCATTCACTTAAGAAGGCATTAAAAAGTAAACCACTTTTACGTCAACAATTTAGTCATAGAGGTTTGAATGATAATTTTACTCTGTTCTTTTTGATCAAAAACAGTTTTCACCAATGCAATAAAACATTTGAAGGTCCCTTTTAAATTGTGAATTTTGCATTTGTTTTAAACAGTTGGTTAAGTAAAATATACATTTTATTTATGGATGTGTAGCAAAGACTTTTTTTTTTCCTTTCTGTGCACCAACAAAACTTTTAAGTATTATTCAGGGTGGATTTATTTTCCCTGTCAGCCAGCTTTCGTAATGCTTGATTCTTTTAGAGGTAAGGGGTACATATGTTAATTTTTTTAACCAGAAACTGCATAACGTAAAATTTGCCAGAATCTTCTTGGTCATGACAGCAGGTCATGTGCAAAACACTTGCATAAGCTATGTAAAGAACTATGAATAATAAACAAAAATTTGTTCTCTCCCCTTCTTCCCTCCCCTCCCTTGTCTTTCTCTTTTCTGTGATGCTAGGAACTGAACCCAGTTCTTGCACATGATAGGTAAGCACTCTACCAGTGATATACTCACCAAACCCTTTTTATTTTATTTTTTTTTTTTTATTTTTTTTGGTTTTTCTCCGGTACCGGGAACCGAACTCACGACCTTGCGCTTGCCAAGCAGGCGCTTTTGCCGCTGAGCTAAACCCCCAGCCCCACCAAACCCTTTTTAAATTGTAAGACAGGGTTGCTTAGTTTGGCCTCAGTCTTGGGATTTTCTGCCTCAGTATCCTCAGTAGCTGGGATTGCAAGTGTGCCTCACCAATCCCAGTGTGTCATTAATTTGTAATGAATGAAGAACTAGAAAGGGAAAGTGAAGATCCAGATGCATAACCTGATACTTTAAATTTCTAAAATGTATGTGTGGAGCATATATGTTTTATTCAATGTCTGTTTAAAGTAAAACCCATGTCATATGATTAGATAAGTAAAATTTCAAAAACATGTTCATTTACATAGTTATCTTTGATATGTGTCAAAATCTTTTCTATTATTTGAGGGTTCACTCTTAAGAGTTCTATGTAATAAACTTGGGGATTAAATCACTAATATTGTAGCCTGCTATGACTTATTGATTGAACTTTTCTAAGAAAGCTGATAAGAATACCTTATTCACCCCCCCGCCCCCGCGCCCAGTGGACAAGTATTTATTGAGTACCAAATCTTTGCTAGGTCTTGGGGGATATAAAAATAATTTGTTATAGTATGTTAATATTTAGCATATAATCTTTCATGATACAATCTTAAAATACTGAAATATCTTAATGAAAAAATAATACATTTTAAATTTGGAACTAAATCTTAAAACTTATTTTTGGAGTTTAAACTTTTCTGATCATGGCCTAGTTATAAATAATATATTTTATGTTTATGACCAGTTATACATAACATATATAAATTATGCATGTTATCTTTTTTGGGCTGTTTCTTTGTTGAAGTTTCAAAAAACAATTCTTATTCCTAACTGTACATTGCTGCACTGATATCTATCTCTCCCTGCCTCCCTACCTCATTAAAAATAATGGTTAAGATTAATAGTTAAGATTCCTTAATGAGTCCCAAACTATGATTTCAAAAAGATGGTCATATTTCTTTTCCATCCTGGTTTTTATATTAAGTACCCTCATCGAATCAAGAAAATTTGGGCTGATCATAACAAAACTTTTTCATATAATGGAAACAATAAGAATAGGATACATTTTCTTAAAAGTTTACATTCTTTTTGTCTGTCATACTAAAAGTCAGACTTACTAGTTTTGTGTCTTAAACCTCTTGGAGTTTTGTTTTTCTGACTTGCTATATATTTTGTAATTGAATTCTCTGAAGTAGTGATCCACCTTAGTGTGTTGTGATGATTAGTAGACAGTTAAGATTTTTGTACCTTTATTCTCAGGATGAGATATTTTACCTTGTTTAGAAATACTAAATCAGGGCCAGGAATATAACTCAGTGGCACAGGTGCCTGCCCGGCAAGCACAAAGTTCTGAGTTCAATTTTTAGTACAAAAAAAAAAAAACCTAAATCAGAAAAATAAAGAATAAATTTTGATTTTTTTACATGGTAGAAGCTATTACACTGCGGGAAACGTGTTTTCTGGAAACCTAAGATTAGCACTATATTTAGGTAATTTATTAGTAAAATATAAGGAGAAACATCAAAATGGCCTGATTATTCCTCTTCCTCACCTAAGTTGAGTTACAGTTTTATGTATGCTTTTTTTTTTTATTTGTCAAAAAACCCTGCTAAGTACTTAAATACTTTTCACTGTCATGGTTTAGATTGTTTTTAGGGATGGATACTGAGCATGTTGGGATGATGTCCTCTGTTTTTGCTTGATGGCATATTTAAAAATAGTAATAGAGTTTGTGATTGCATAAAATTTTTTCATAAAATTTGAATGTAAATAAATTTCTTGTTTTGGAGTATCCTTATTTATTGCTTTTAGTATTTTAAAAGTTGGTTCAAATTAGTAATATAGAATAATGAGATTCATTTTGGTGTATTGGTACATGCATATAGCATAGTTTGATTATTTGAATCCCCACTACCTCCTTTTTCTTTCTCCATTCCTTGATATCCTTCCCATCTCTAAAGTCTATTAGTTTCCCAGACTCCTTTATTTTTACAGTTTACTTAAATGTGGATTGCTCATATAAGAGGAAATAAGTAGACAGACTTATTAACATCTAGTCTCAAGTTCCATCCATTTTTCTGCAAGTGATATGATTTCCTTAGAGTTAGTCTATAGCATTTCTATGTTTGAAAATACGGAGCTGAATGTAAAGAATTTAGTTCCTCCCTCCCCCATTGCCATCTGCCTCAGTCCCCAGTTTGTTACCATTGAGGAGTCAGTAGTGATTCATTGTTAACTAAAGTCCATGGTTTAAATGAAGGTTCACTCCTTGTGTTTCCCCATTCTGTGTGCATGGACAAAGGTACAATGACTTATACCCACAATTAGAATATCAAACAGCTAGTTTTATTTCCCTAGAAATAATTCTGTGCTCTGCGTATTCCTCATTTGAACTCCAGGAGCCACTTGTTCTTTTTCCTTTTTCTGTAGTTTTGCCTTTTTCAGAAATGTCACATAGTGGAAATCATGTATTATTTGGTCTTTTCATATTGATTTCTTTCGCTTAGGAATGCCCATTTAATCTTATTCCATATCTTTTCATGGTTAGATAGCTTATTTTTATTGCTGAGTCATACTGTTATGCGTATATACCATAATTTATCCATTATAAAGATGTCATGGTTGCTTTCAAGTTTTGGCAGTCATGAATAAAGTTGGTAGATTAGCAGTGTTTAGTAAGTTTTAGACTCCTTTGACTAATTATGAAATAATTTAATTGCTGTATTGTATAGTAAGAGCATGTTTAGCTTTTTAAAAATGTGAAGCACATATTTAGAATTTTTATTGCCAGATCATAATTATCTTTGTGAAGTATAGTGTGATATATTAGTATATTTATACACTGTATATTGATCAAGTTAAGATACTTAGGTTGTTGACCATGTTAAACAGTTATCATTGCTTTTTTTTGTTTTGTTTTGTTTTGTTTTTCCAGACAGGGCCTCACTGTGTAGTTCAGGCTGGCCTCTACTCCTAGTGATTCTCCTGCCTCAGCACCCCTCAACCCCCACTGGGATTATACCCAGCACTTATTATTACTTTTTGATGACATTTAATTTTTTCTAGCTATTTTGAATTATACAGCACCATAATGTTAGCTGTCATTATCCTCTGTCAAGTAGAACACCCACACTTACTCCTCCTATTTCGCTGTGACTTTGTACCTGTCAAGCATACTCTCCCCAACCACTCCTTTCCCTTTCCTGGCTCCTGATTAGCACTATTATGCTCACTAATTCTGTAGCTCAGCGTTCTTTAGATTCCACATTTGAGTGAAACTATGTGCTATTTGTCTTTCTGTGCCTGATTCATTTTATTCATCATTATGATTTCTGTTTCCATTCACATTGCTATGTATGACAGGATTTTGTCCTTTTATGGCTGAGTAGTATTCCATTGTGTGTGGCCAGTATTGACTTATCTCTGAAGGTAGGTAGGGTTAGGCTTGGTTAGTTACTTGTGTAGCAATATGTTTCATTTTTTAAAACACTCGCACCATCTTTCAAAGTGGCACTTCCATTGTGTGTTCCCACAGCAGTGAATGAGGGATCTTCTGTTCCACATTTTTGTAACATTTGATATTTTCAATGTTTCAAGTTTTAGTCAGACTAATAGGTGTATAATTGTAGCTCATTGTTGTAATTTGCTGTTTCCTAATGACATGTGCTGAACCTCTTTTGTAGAGTTATTTACCATTTGTATATTTCCTTTGATGAGGTCTCCATTGAGCTCCTGGGATTTAATTATTTTCTTATTGTTACCATCTTTCATATAAGCTTCAGCACAAAAGATCAGCCTGTATATAGAGTTGAAATATGCATGACTATGTATAAAACTTTAATGTCAGATTTGAAGTACAGTATTTATTGTCTTGTTTTCAACCCACTGTTTACTTTGAACCACCTAGCATTTCTCATTCATTTTAGTTTGTACTTAAAATAGTCATTTTTCAAAAGTTAGAATTTAAACATTTTTAAAGATTTAGATACAAAATATAGATTTTTCCCCATTAAGTTTTTGTTCCTTTTCACAGTTTGGGACGTATACTATGCATATTAAGGTATAACAATGTGTGTTTCTTTTAAAGAAATTCGTGTAATAGTTGATGTCTCTTGACAGTGAAACCTGTTCTTTGGGACATCTACTAAAGCTCTGAGAATGCCACTGTGCAGAACATTCGTGAGGAAAATGATGCCTTAGGGTTGTTTGCACTGGGAAGTTTCCTTGGCTTACTACCAAAGGGAAGATAAGGTAAAAAGTTAAAATTTTGCTATGAGTATTAGAGGAATTTTTCTGTGTTTTTCTGTGTTTTGGCTAACGAGAAATATTTCCAGTGCTGTGCTTATTTTATGTGACCAATTGTTTTTCATATCACTTGGGATGTCAAGGAACATGGGTTATTATTTAATGCTTTTCCAATAAAAATGAAATCATTGTGCAGGTCTCAGAGGTAAGGCTTTTGGTTTGTTTCACAAATTCTTCTGAAAAGAGCATTATTTTTTCTTGTAGCGAGGACTTCCTCTCTTATTTTGTAAGTTTTGACCAGTGAAAATGTCTTTGGGTGGTCTTTCCGTGTGGGGGGATTGATACGGAAATCATACTTCACATTTTCTGGTAAATAGGGCCTCTGCCCTTCTCCTTATTCGAACTCTGTTTTATGGTTTCTTCTATAGGTTTGGCTAAATGGACAGGATTGGCTTATGAAATTTTCTGAGGCCTGCTTCTTTTAAAGGGAACATTTCCTCTCAAAATTTGAATGGATGAGATCTCTACCATTTTTTTTTTAATTAGCTGAACTGAAAGGAACCTGAAAATAAAAAATTACATTTTTCATTTTAGAAACATATTTCAAAGGTTTTGTTCTAACTTAAGATTTGTTTTTCTTTTTGGCGGGGGCAGGGTCTCACTGTGTAGTTCAGGTTGGCCTAGAACTCATAGCAATACTCCTGCCTCAGCTTCCCAAGTGCTGGGATTACAGGCATGTGCCACCATGCCCAGCTAAGATTTTGAATTTTTAATGACCAAGTTGTGATTTATGAAGATGACACGTGGAGAACAAAAATGCATTCATATTGGCTTTTAATTCTTTCTTAGAGTGTTTTGTACCTTTGCAACTTATAGATTAAATTTCTACATCAAGCATTTCAAAAAATCTTTTAATGCACATTTACTTTTGCCCAATGTGATTTTATTTGCTATGGAAATAATGATCTCTTATACATAATTGCTTTGAGTGGTTTTTTTTTTTTTTTCTATGAAAGTGCCAACAGGGTATCTATTATTCCTTAAAGAAGATTTATTTTACAGTGCAGAACTTTTCTACCTATATAATGGAAAGATGGCAGTAAGGTCAATTCAAAGTACTTGTAAAGGTTAATAGCATGGCTTAGGCTATAAGTGCTGATGTAGGTAGTGTTCTGTGGTGGAAAGAGATCAGAGCTAGAAGGCAATATAGTTGGATTTTAGATCTTCAAATTCTTTATATTCCCCCAAGGGTCCTTTGTACTTTAATCCTTAATAAATTCTCTTCTTAGCCCATTACTCCTAATATTTTCAGTTTTACTTAGTTCTCTCCTCATATTACCCCTTGGGAGATGACTGATTTTAGAATACTTACCTAAAATAATATTTGCTACTCTGTTCCCTTATTTGCACTAATTTAATTTACTTTTACTGTGCTTGTACTACCTGTCATTATATTACCATAGGTTAGCAATAGCTAGCACAATGGGCCATAGTAGAAAGAGCTCTGAACTAGCGTTTGCTGAGAGATTTTATTTTTAATTATAAAATGATACTGGATTATGCTAAATGCATTTTCTGTATTTATATCTTTCTGTGCCTGCTGTCCTTTAATTTGTTGATAAGGTAAATTACATCGATCAATTTATAAATGTTTTAACAGCTTGCATAACTAGAATAAATGCTACTGGCCAGTTGTCTGATTTTCTTTTTTAATATACTACTGGATTTGATTTGTGAATTTTTATTGGGGTTTATATCTAAGTTCATGGGAAACACTGATCTGTCGTTTCCTTTTCTACATTTTGCTTTTGTTGTACTTTGGTATTTTTGTACTGTATTTGCCTGTATCAGAGCAATATTAGTCATAAAATCATTTGGGAACTTTTCTCTTGTCCTTTATTTCTGGAATAGTTTGTGTAAATTCACATGTAGAGGAGGAAAGATATCTTTTCTGTAGCTATCTTAGGCTCATGACCAAGGCCTCTATAATAAAATACAGATTAGTAGGAGAAAGATAAATTTATTATAACTTTTACATGATGTGAGGAAGTGATGCTCTACAGAGATGGATGTATTGCGTATTTTTTTATGGTGGGTGTAATGGAGAAGTGGCTGGTTGTGGAAAAGGAATACTGGATTAAAAGCATGATCCTAGTGGATAACACTAGAGGAAACAGCAAGTCCTGCGTGCTCCAGTCTGTTCTGTGACCCTTTGTCTCCATCAGTAAGAATGCTCCTTTCCTCCAGGTAAAGAGAGGGCAGTTTTCATGGGAGGGCCTTAAATTTTCCTCAGGGAAAGATCTATTCAGAAAGTCCTGTTCAGGTTTATGACCTTGTTCAGGAATAACAGTAGGAAGAAGGTGACAGTGACCTTTTTCCTTCTGAGGTGTTGTCAGATTCCTTCAGCCTAAGATATTTTGGAGCAGTATGTGCTGGACCTCATGCTTTTTGCTATGTTGTAGTTGCCCGGCAGAATTCTGGGAAAGCAGCTGGGCCTGGAGCTTTAGCATTGAGTCCATCTAGCAAGTTCATTTTGCCTATAATTTTGCTTCATTTTTTAAAAATTACATTTCTTTGCTGAGATTTTCTGTATTTTCATTTGTTTTAAGAGAATTTTAATGACTTTTTGAAGCATGTCTACAAAGCCTACTTTAAAACCCTTGTCAGATATTTCTAATATCAGTCATCTTGGTTTTGACATTTATGTATGTATGTATGTATGGTCTTTTTGAATCAGAGTCTCAGCAGTTCAGGCTTGCCTTCAACTCACTATGTAGCCCAGGCTGGCCTCGATCTTGCAGTAGTCCTTCTGCCTCAGCCTTGAGTGCTCGGATTGCAGTAGTGTGCCACTACTCCTGGCTATTTATTTATTTTTAAAGCTGCTAGGCTCTCTGTCATAATGTGAGGCTGGTGAGTGCATGTGTTCAGCCTCTCACCATCCTTTGCTCCATACCACCTCAAGAGTGTGGGGTAGGGACTCATACTGCCTTCTTACAGGTGGGCAGGTGCTGGTGCCTCTCATGTGGAATGGGCTACCTCCTTGCAGCACTGCAGCATCTCTGATTTCAGTTGTAAGATCGGTTTCTTGCTGAGCCTGATGCTGCCTATCGCGGGGGGTGGTGGTTTTCAAAGTCAAGGAGCTCTACGTCCTACTACCTCATTCGTTTGCCTGACCAGTGCAGAGTGGGCTGGGACACTGCTTCCTTCTGAGCCCTTCTGACACTGGAGCTGGGAGTGAGATGGAGTAGGAATGCTGACCAGCCCCACTTGACATTACCTTTTCAGTTTCTTCTGCTGAGTGGCATGGAGTTCCAGCCTCCCTCTGGACCAGAGGGATACTGGGATAGGACAAAAGGAGAACATTGACCTGCTCTCACTTGGATTGCCTTGGTCAGTTGCTTTGATGCTGTTTGGAGATTGAGGCTCGGCTCCTTCCTGGCTTCTACCCACAACAGATCCAGTGGTGACTAGTTCTGCTTTGAATGACTTTTCTTGTTTCTCTCACTGCACTTGGTGTGGGTGGAAGCTCAGCTTAACCCCGGTAACCTCCAGGTAGTACTCTGTTGGGAGGAGTTTAGCTCCCCAGTTTTGCTGTGTTGATGATGCTCCAGCAGTGGATTTGGAGTACCCTCTGGGTCTACTAGATGATGGGAGATCATCCTGCCCAGCTTCTTGGTTCACCATGGGTGGTGAATTAGGCTGCCTTCAGGAATGGACCAGGCAGAGCAGGGGTGGGGGTAGGGGGGTGGTTAGAGTGGAAATGTCAATTCCCCTGTGGAAAGGAAGGGTGGGGGTTTTTTCCATGGTGATAGGCTGGAATAGGGCAGACATTACCAAGAATGTTTTCTGTTGTTGGCTTACTTTTGGGGAGAGAGTGCTTAGCTAGCAGGGAACAGACTTTTTATGGAGGTGCAGTTTTTCTCTGCTTCTTGGTGGTTCTATATTGGAGTCTTCTGAGATACATGGAAAGCAAGAAGGATACCCAAGGGACTCATTACCATGTTCTTCCTCAAATTTGAGGTCCTTAAGCAGCTCACCTTCCTTTTTCTACCTTTCAACATCTTCATCAGCTTCTTTGTTGTATGTCCTGCATTTTCCTCTCTTAAGACCAAGACCAGGGAGCTCTGGGACTTTCCATCTGGATGGAACAAGACATCCTTCAAGATACTGTTCATAGGGGAACACTGGAAAATAAAATTAAATCTTCTCACTTAACTGTGGTGGAATAAATAATACTTGGTGAGAATTTTTCTATGATGATCTTTGATTTCTGCATTGGACTATGATGCATTACTAGCATTTTCCCCCTAGAATCACCAGATTATATTTAATAAAATAAGGACTTCCTATGACCCTTTTTATTGTAGTAAAATATAGCATAATTTACAGTTTAACTATTTTGAGTGTATAATCCAATGGAATTCATTTTACTCACAGTAGTATACAACCGTCAATACTGTTTGCAAAACTTTTTTTTTTAATCAATTTTTTTTTTTAATCTTAGTACTGGGGATTGAACCCAAGGCCTCCAAGCTGAGCTACATCTCTGTCCATTTTTAAATTTTTTATATTGAGACAGGGTCTCATTAAGTTGCCAAACTCAAACTTGCAAACCTTTTGCCTCAGTCTCCATGAGTTCTGGGATTTCAGGTATGCACCACCATTCCCGGCTCTAATAGATTTCATTTTTTTCCAAAGTTTAGATTTCTGGAAAAATGAAAAAGTATATAGTATTGTCATATACTTTATCCCTCCCCAACTTTTCCTTTTTTTGAAAATCTTGCCTTAGTGTCATACATTTGTCACAGTTGATGAGTGAGGTACATTCTGTACATTTTGATAAATGTGTGGTGACATGTATCCAGCATTGTAGTGTCATACAGTGTTGTTTTACTGCCTGAAAAAATTCCGTGCACCTCTTCATCCTTCACTTTCTCTCTTCCCTAGCTCTGGTAACCCTTTGCTACCACTGATCTTGTCACTGTCTCCATAGTTTTGCATAATAT